ATTCATGCACAAGGACACCCAAGTCCCTCTGCACAGCAGTGTGCTGCAATTTTTTACCATTTAAAACATAGTCCATTTTGTAGTTATTCCTACCAAAATGGATGACCTCACATTGTATTCCATCTGCCAGACCTTTGCCCACTCACTTAGACTATCTATATCCCTCTGCAGACTTTCAGTGTCTTCTGCACACTTTGCTCTACCACTCACCTTAGTGTCATCTGCAAACTTTGACACACCACACTTAGTCCCCAACTCCAAATCATCTATGTAAATTGTAAACAATTGAGGTCCCAACACTGATCCCTGAGGCACACCACTAGCCACTGACCGCCAACCAGAAAAACACCCATTTACCCCTACTCTTAGCTTTCTACTAGTCAAGCAATCCTCTATCCATGCCAATACATTACCTGTAATACCATGCATCTTTATCTAATGTAGCAGCCTTTGGTGTGGCACCTTGTCAAATGCCTTCTGGAAATCCAGATACACCACATCCACAGGTTCCCCATTGTCCACCATGCAAGTAATGTCCTCAAAGAATTCCACCAAATTAGTTAAACATGACCTACCCTCCATGAACCCATGCTGGGTGTTCCCAATGGGACAATTTATATCCAGATGTCTTGCTATTTCTTCCTTAATGATAGATTCAAGCATTTTCCCCACTACCAAAGTTAAGCCTATAGTTACCTGCTTTTTGTCTACTTCCTTTTTTAAACAGTGGTGTCACATTGGCTGCTTTCCAATCTGTGGGAATCACCCCAGAGTCCAGTGAATTTTGGTAAATAATTACTAGTGCATTTGCTATTTCCCCCATCACCTCTTTTAGTACCCCGGGATGTATTTCATCAGGGCCGGGAGACTTGTCTACCTTTAGCCCCATTAGCTTGCCCAGCACTGCCTCCTTAGTGATAATGATAGTTCCTAGGTCCTCACCTGCTATAACCTTCTTGCCATCAGTTTTTGGCATGTTATTTGTGTCTTCCACTGTGAAGACCGACACAAAATAACTGTTTAATGCCTCGGCTATTTCCTCATTCCCAGTTATTAAATTGGCCTTCTCATCCTCTAAGGGACCAATGTTTACCTTTGCCACACTTTTATGATTTACATATTTACAGAAACTTTTGCTGCCTGTTTTTATATTTTGAGCTACTTTACTCTCATAATCTATCTTACTTTTCTTTATAACTCTTTTTGTGGCTTTCTGTTGGCCTTTAAAGATTTCCCAGTCTACTCGTTTCCCACTAATCTTTGTTTTTTTGTATGTATTTTTTTTTTAATCTGATACTTTCCTTTATTTCCTTATACATCCATGGGTGACTATTTCTTTTCCTACAGTTCTTCCTTATCACTGGAATATACTTCTGCTGAGCACTGTCAAAAATCGTTTTGAAAGTCCTCCACTGTTCCTCAATTGACCCACTATAAAGTTTTTGCCCCCATTTTACCTTATCTAACTCCTCCCTCATCCCATCATAGTCTCCGTTGTTTAAGCACAGGACATTGGTACTGGATTTAACCTTCTCACGCTCCATCTGTATTTTAAATTCGACCATATGTGATCGCTCCTTCCGAGAGGATCCCTATTTGTGAGATCATTAATTATTCCTGTCTCATTACACAGGACTAGATCTAGGATAGCTTGCTCCCTCATAGGTTCCATTACGTATTGTTCAAGTGATCACAGTACAGTTGAATTTAAAATAGGTTGAGAAGGTAAAATCCAATACCAGTGTCTCGTGCTTAAACAAAGCAGACTACAATGGGATGAGGGATAAGTTGGCTAAGATAGACTGGGAGTAAGGACTATATGGTGAGGAACAGTGAAGAACTTTCAAAGTGATTTTCGCAGTGCACAGAGGAAGTATATGCCAATGAAAAGGAAGTACTGTAGGAAAAGAGGTAATTAGCCATGGATATTAAAGGTAATAGAGAGTATCAATTTTAAAGCTAATGCATACAAAGTGGCAAAGATTAGTGGGAAGCTAGAAGCTTGGGAAATCTTTAAATGTCAACCGAGAAATGTTCATTATCACTAAAGAGTTGGGCAAGCTAATGGAGCTAAAGGTAGACAAGTCTCCTGGTCCTGATGGAATGCATCCCACGGGGCTAAAAGAGCTGGCAGGGGAAATAGCAAATGCGTTCATGGTAATTTACCAAAATTCGGTGGACTCTGGGGTGGTTCCAGCAGATTGGAAAACAGCAAATGTGATGTCACTGTTTAATAAAGGAGGTAGACAAAAGGCAAATAACTATAGGCCCATTAGCTTGATTTCTGTTGTTGAGGAAATACTTGAATCAATAATCAAGGAAGAAATTGTGAGACATCTGAATAGAAATTGTCCCATCCGGCAGACGCAGCATGGATTCATGAAAGGCAGGTCATGTTTAATTATTTTACTGGAATTCTTTGAGGACATTATGAGCGTTTACGATAAAGGTGCATGCTGTTACAGGTAATGTATTAGCATGGATAGTGGATTGGTTAACTAACAGACAGCAACTAGTGGGGATAAGTGGGTGGTTTTTCTGGTTAGCAATCAGCGACTAGTGGGGGTGCCTCAGGGATCAGTGTTGAGACTGCAATTGTTTACAATTTACATAGATGCTTTGGAGTTGGGGACTGAGTGTAGTGTGTCAAAGATGACACTAAGATGAGGGCTGTAGAGCGAAGTATGCAGAGGACACTGAAAGTTTACAGAGGAACATAGGTTTAGTGAGCGAGCAAGGGTCTGGCAAATGGAGTACAATATTGGTAAATGTGAGGTCATCCATTTTGATAGGAATAACAGCAAAATGGACTATCATTTAAATGGTGAAAATTTGTGGCATGCTGCTGTACAGAGGGATCTGGGTGTCCTCGTGCATGAATTGGTTTGCAGGTGCAGCAGGTAATTAAGAAGGCAAATGGAATATTGTCCTTCATTGCTAGGAGGATGGTGTTTAAAAATGGAGTGGTTATGCTGCAGCTGTATCGGGTGTTGGTGAGACCACATGTGGAGTTGTACAGTTTTCATCTCCTTACTTGGGAAACAATATACTGGCACTGGAGGGTGCAGAGGAGATTCACTAGGCTGATTCCAGAGTTGAGAGGGTTGTCTTATGAGGAAAGACTGAGTAGACTGGGATTATATTCATTGGCATTTAGAAGAATGAGAGGGGATCTTATAGAAACGTATAAAATTATGAAGGAATAGATAAGATAGAAGCAGGGAGGTTGTTCCCACTGGCAGGTAAAACTAGAACTAGCAGACATGGCCTCAAAATAAGGGAGCAAATTTAGGACAGAGTTGAGAAGGAACTTAGATGTGCAACTTAGGTGGATGGTGGTGTTCAGGGATGTGTAGGTTTGGTGCATTAGCTCTGGGAAATACAGAATAGGGGAATGGGTCTGGGTGCATGCTCTTTGGTGGGTTGGTGCGGACTTGTTGGACTGAATGGCCTGTTTCCATGCTGTGGGGATTCTATAAACTTCTTCACCCAAAGGGTTGTGAATCTATGGAATTCTCTGCCCAGTGAAGCAGTTGAGACTACCTTGTTGAATGTTTTTAAGGCAAAGATTGATTTTTGAACAATAAAGGAATTAAGGGTTATGATGAGCAGATAGACAAGTAGAGCTGAGTCCACAAAAAGATCAGCCATGATCTTACTGAATGGCAGAGCAGGCTCAAGGGGTCAAATGGCCTACTCCTACTCTTATTTCTTATGTTCTTAAATCTTTCCCTCTCACTTTGAACCTATGTCCTCCTTTGCAAAGACAGAAGTGAAGTATGAATTTAGGTTGTCAGCCTTTTCCTTGTTCCACATTATAAATTCCTGCATTAATGACTGTAAGGGAATTACAACAGTTTTCACCAATCTTTTTCTCTTTACCATACCTATAGAACTTTGACAGTTATCTTCCTGCAAGCCTACTCTCTACTCTATTTCCCTCTTCTTAATCAATTCTTTGGTCCTCCTTTGCTGACTTCTAAACTGTTCCCAATCCTCAGGACTATGGTGTTTTTCTTGTCAATTTGTATGCCTCTTGTTTGCATTTAGTATTATAACTAACTTCCATTGTACCCCATAGTTTAGCCACTGTTCTGTTTGCACTCTTGCACCAGACAGAAATAAACATTTTTTGTAGTTCACCCATTCACTCTTTGAATGTTTGCCATTACCTATCCACTGTCATTCCCTTCAGTAATATTTCCCAATTCATCACAGCCAACACCTACTTTCTATCTTTCTTTCTACTTCCTTCACTAAAGATCCTCAGACAGCACCATCCAAACACACGACCACTTCCATCAAGAAGGACAAGGGCAGCAGATGTATGGGAACAGCACCACCGTCAAGTTCCCCTCAAAGCCACTCACCATCCTGACATATATATCACTTCTGTCTTCGCAAAGGAGGACATAGGTTCAAAGGGAGAGGAAAAGATTTAAGAACATAAGAAATAAGAGTAGGAGTAGGCCATTTGACCCCTTGAGTCTGCTCTGCCATTCAGTAAGATCATGGCTGATCTTTTTGTGGACTCAGCTCTACTTATCTACCTGCTCATCGTAACCCTTAATTCCTTTATTGTTCAAAAATCAATCTTTGCCTTAATAACATTCAACAAGGTAGTCTCAACTGCTTCACTGGGCAAAGAATTCCATAGATTCACAACCCTTTGGGTGAAGAAGTTTATAGAATCCCCACCTGAAATATATCTCCGTTCCTTCACTGTTGCAGGGTCAGATCCTGGAATTCCCTCCCTAGTAGCAGTGTGGGTCAACCTACAGCAGGTGGACAGCAGCGGTTCAAGAAGGCAGCTCACCACCACCTTCTCAAGGGCAATTAGGGATGGTCAAGAAATGCTGGCCAGCCAGAAAAGCCCACATCCCACAAATGCACGGAATCTACCTTCTCTTTCTGGTTTTACCTTTCGACAGGTGGGGGCAGGTCATTCACAGAAAGGGCAGCGGGGCGGAAATGACGTACGCTGGCCTAAGTCTGTTGGTGGTAACGGTCCCCATGGCAACGTGGCTTCGTGGTCTCTCTCGTTCCACCAGCTTCAAACGGTTTGTCGGATCTCCGCGATGGACGACGAGCCTCCGAGTGAGTGTATCTACAACCTGCTGCCCCGGCCTCAGCCTCCGCCTCGCCATCGCCTCAAGTGAGTTTCCGGCCGGACCGCTGGTTTCCATCAGAGGGAACTGACCCCGCCAAGTGTCGTCCAGGGAGAGGGAGACCCATCGAAAGATAGGGGGTCCAGAGAGAGAGAGAGAGAGAGAATGTGGGAAGGGAAGAGAAGAAGGGGGTGCACTGGAGAAAGGGAATGTGGGGAGTGGAGAGAGGGAGTTTGGAGAGATGGAGCGAATAGAGGGAAGAGAAAGATGGGGGCTTTGGAGAGAGGGAATGAGTGAATGGAAGAAAAAGGTGGGGATTAGAGAAAGGGAATGAGAGGAGGGAAGACGGACGGAGGGTTTGGAGAGAGGGAAGGAGAGG